TTGAGATTAAGAAAAAATTTTTTTCAATATTGATTAATCCTCAACATTACTAATTTAAATTTTGTCATAAAACACTTCATAGTCATCTTAGTTACTTTTTTTCTTGCTGAGACAAAATATCGGATACCCAAAGTTAAAGGAAGAAGAGTTTATTTGGTTTACATTTTGTAGAGGCTTCAGATCATAATCAGCTGGCTCCAAGGAAGAGTGGCACATGGCAGAGGGGCAACAGTTCATGGTGACAGAAGGTACTGTAGCAACAAGGGACCTTCACAGCATTTTTCTGCCCCTTTTATCTTATGTAGACTATGTAGGGCAGGTAGCATTCACACCTTTACTCCTAGAGCCCTTGAAACTAGCATTGCTCCATGAATCAATTCCAGCCTGACATACTCTAGATCCTGAAAAAGCCTAACCTATGACCCCATGAGGCTTTGGGGACACCTAGGCACAAGCCATAAAAACAGTTTATAAGTAATTGTATTCTTTTTCTTAAAAACTTATCATTTGCGCATTGTTCTTACAAATAAAACGTAAATAATGAAGTTCAACTGCAATAACGAGAAATAAAGAAATATGATGACAGAGAGATACTCTTCTCATTGGGACAAAATGTTTACTACAAATAATCTAAACTTCATGACAGTAAGGATGCTTGCTGCCTTGTTTATACATTCACCCAACAGGTATTTAACTGAGATTGGTACTAAGTGTCCACTTCATTAATATTCACAGATCCTAACATAGGCCTGTGCCAATTAGGGGCTCCATAAAAATCACTCTACAGGCTTCTAGTATTCCTGGAATACATGATATATTATTGTTTTTATTTTTTTACTAATCAATGGCAGCTATTACAAATCATGTTCTCTGCCATCATACAGTTTATATCTACTTGGAAGTAATGGAAAAATATGCAATGACTGGACAATTCACAATAAAAATGGGCTACAACAAATAAGGCAGTTATGAAGAACTTTATCCAACAGAAATTTGCAAAATAGACTCTCTTTGAAAAACCAACTACCATAATCAATTCTTAGTAAATTTATAAAAACACCAATTAAAATTTGAAACCTTTCAATAATGTAAATGCCAAATATTGTTCAAACTTTTTTATTGTTGAAAGGAAATTAGCTTACTTTTTGTCTGTCACTTTATTTTGACTTTAAATTTTGAGAAAATTTAAGCCATGCTTTTTTTTTGTTTGTTTTTGTACAGGGGATTGAACTCAGGATCTTTCCCTTGCAAAGTAGGAGGGAGAACCACTGAGCTAGACCCCCGGCCCAAGCAATAATATTTTTGATATTTAATGAATTAAATAATTTACGTTTTCAGAAAACATTTGAGCACTCAAATTCCAGGATTTATATTAATTAATTGCTTCTCAATTCTCCTGTCTACCGGGTATCCATCTGATAAAACCTTATCATTTTAATAGTGACACCATGGAGCTCTTAACAGTGGTGGCATTCATCCTAATATAATAAATAAATCCATTGATTAAAACTAGGCTACCTCGTTCAAAAGCCACTTTATTCCAAGTTGTTATATTTTTAAGAGCATCCATTAATCAAAATTTAAATGTGATTACATTTTCAAGTAAAATCAAACTTGATCACTCTGAAAAATAGGATGATAAACAATGTCAAATATTCAAATGTTCATCAAAATTCTATGCCAATCAGAATTTAAACGTTATCTAGTTGAAATCACATTATACATTAAGCAAGAATAGAGTATCTTTTTAATAGATGTAATCAACTTTCCTGGTTTTTGTCTCACTCTATTAATTAAGGATATAAACAATATTTTTAAAATGAGATCAGTACATAGTTTATACTTGACTGACTTAGAAGGCTTACAGAAATTTTCCTGGCTGTTTAATGGATAACCAAATTACTAACTTTTATAAATAAAACATACCATATATAATATGAATCAGATTATTATTTAAATCATTTATATTCAATAAACCTAATTCTAAAATTAATATTATTTAAAAATCTGCCAATCTTATTTGACTATTTTGGCAGTATCAGGGGTTGAACTAAAGACCTTCACATTGAGCTACATCTCCAGCCTCCTTTTTATTTTTCATTTTGAGACAGGTTCTAGCTAAGTTGTTATAAGTTGCCCAGACTGAGCTCAAAGTTACAATCATCCTGTCTCAGACTCCCAAAGTAGTGATTTTTGAATCCTGGAAAAAGTAGAAGAATTTATTTGAGAAGATCAGGAGGAACTTTACAGGTGTACAAATGATCCCAAATCTACGTTTTAATATCAAGGACAGATCTGCTTCTATCACTCATAGGTATCATTTTGTGTCTCAATTCCCTCCCCTTGCCTTTTTGCCTTCCTGACTCTCCTTTTATCTTTTCTTTTACTTTTTAATTCTTCTTTCTCTTCTCCCATGCACCCAATATTACAGGAAGGAATCGGAGATAAAGTTCAGTAGTAAATAATACAATAAAACATACAAAAAATTGTCCTTGCGTTATACTTGATTATATAGTGAATCACGAAAAGAAGTGACTTGTATCATTTGTACATAAAGATAATTTCTTGAGTCACTAATGATTGGTCACCTCTTGTAAGCAACGTAAGAAAGTGAAATGAGCTAGAATGTCTTATTTGGCCAGGTTTGGGCTAAGATAGGTCCTAGTGGTTGATACAAGTTTGAGTAGAACTGACAAACAACAGTGTTTGGGAATTTCAGAGAGCTAGTGTTCATTTCCAAGGACACACTCTAAGAAGAGAAAGAATATGAAGATTTCAGATCCAAGAATGAGTGTGTAGAGACAAACTTGGAAAACAAAGTGAACAGGCAGATAAAACCAAAAGAGGAGACCCAGAAAGAAGTGGAGACTCACAGGGCAACTGTCAGATATTTAAGGCAATATGTGAGAGGATTACAATTACTCAAAGCAAATGTAAATTTTTATTTATTACAAACATAACCCAATTAATTAAAAAAACATGATCAATAAAGGTGCAGTGGAGGGTACTGAGCTGGTAAAAACTCATAGAAAGTCAATTCTTCACTTATGAAAGGACCCTGAGCCTTCACTTGATCAGAATTGGAAAGAAATATACATTCTAGTATACTAAAACCTTTTGACTATTAAAAAAACAGTACTTTGAGTAATTCAATAACAGAGGCCTTTATGAATTCAGAATGATCATTGCAGAACCTTTTCTCAGGCTAAAAGTGTAATTGGTCATGGATCAATAAGTAATTTCTTTTAGTAAGAAAAAGGTCTTGTTTTATTTCTTATTTCTTTATTTCTTTCTTATTTATTTTTGAAGTGGAAATGTTGCTAAGTCAGATCTGAGCAAATAGATTGTGAAAGCTGAGATTACTTTAAGCAGCTGGATTCCTTATTGCACTAGTTAAGTTTACCTCAACTGATCATTTATTTATGATGCCATAAAAATCTAGATGCTTCCAATTTTGATTGTTAGATATTTGCTGAAAGGTAGTTCAAATTACTTTCCCAGAGTTCCTATTTTGACAGCTACACTTTGAATGGAAAATTTATGATGGTTCAATAATGATGGTGCTGAAGTGTTGTTTTCTGTTTATATATTTTTTTCAAGATTAGCAATGAATTTAGCCCCTGTGTTCAGTCAGTACAGACCCCACTCAGCTTGTTGGAAATTCCAGAAGTGCGATACAAAAGTAAGGTTAAGAAAATAAATTAATAAAGTCTTTGAGATTTGAAGCTTTGTCTGCATTAATGTAGTATTTTGGTGTTTGGCAATTTTCCAATTATTTTAGGATCAGCACCTAAAAGCCAATTTCTAGCAAAAAAGAACATGATGACCAAATCAAGTATCTTTTGTGGTATGGGTACTGGTACAGGGAGAATTTATAGGGACAGATTAAAACAAAACAAATTACATTTACATGATTACAGATGCAGGCAAAATAGCTATACTTAAGAATAAAATAGAGTAGAAAATGGAGAGAATGAAATGCTTCTGAAACTTCCAGAAGTTAAAGACTTCCAAGAAAAAAGATGATAATAACTCTTGAGAGCTTCTCTCTTTCTGTGATGGTGGGGATTGAACCCAGGGTACCAAGTTTGCTAAGCAAGTGCTACACCACTGAGCATACCTTCAACCCTATAATTTTTAAATTTGTAACACTTTTTCATTTTGTTAATTTGATATATTAGTAAAATATTAATATCTATTAGTAATTAATGACGGTATATGCTTCCTTGTAAGTAACGCAAGGAAGTGAGAAGATAAAATATTTGTACTTATTAGTAAGTCTTTGAGTGCACAGAGCAAAGGAAGAGTCCCTCAACTATAAAGTCAATTACAGCAACATTAAAAAGGAAAAATGTATTTTCATTCATGAGTTACTATTTGTCTTCTACTACATGCTGAGTAAATTCTTGTGGGAAGTTGGGAGCTTAGGGGAAAAGGAATGGTCCCAAGATGGAAATGGCAAGAATCCATGGTGTTCTCCTGACACGTATCAAAATAAGCACAAAATTACATCTTTTTGCCATTTTCTTTCACATCGTAAAATAGCCTTAAGTTTTCCTTCCACTGCATGTAACTTTTTGACAACTGTTTTCTCTGGCAAGAAAAGAAATAAGAACACTGAATCCAGATCTTTGGAAGTCACCAGCATTACAACCTCCTGCTTCCAGCCAGATGGTATGGTACCTACCGAGCAATAACTTATTTTATTAGTCTGGCAAGCCTGTCTAAAGATACTAAAATCACTCCAAATGGTCTTTGTGAGTGCAAAATTGAAAGAAATTCACTTTCAAAAAAGCAAAACAAAACAAAAACATTTTTCCTATTAAAGATTACATTACCAGTAATAGGTCTACGGTTTCACCATTTCTAGGTGATATTCATATTTTCTATAGCAAAGTATCCGTTTTTATAGGAAAACATCCAAAAAGCAAAATTATCGATTCTATAGAAAAATCTAGCAGTGTAAAGAAAATGGAGATGATTATTTTAAAGGTACTTACTATATGTAGCTCTAGGTAGTCACCCAGGCCTGACGAACTGTCCACTCGAACCAGTACAGCTTCCTTCTGCACAGTGCTGAACCCTATAGCCAGTCTGTCTGCTCGTGTACTTGGCCGGTCATTAGGAGGCCACTTGTATGTGATTTGTCCACCACCTTTGCTAAAGATATACGTTGTCCCAGCTGTAGAAACAAACAAACAAACAAACAAACAAAAAACCCTAATTAGTCCCAGTTCCTCAACCCTTTCCCAGGATGGTCATGTGGATATATCCATAAAATATTGACTTTACACAGAAAACTAAGGCAAGGCAAATAATAGATTTCAATCAAACATGTTCAAGGAAGAAGACAGCTATTTTTTAAAAAATGGAGAAGCAGCTCCGTTATTAATACACTCATTAAATCTACCAGCAGGTGTTTCAGAACAAACAGCAGATTATGGGTTTTTTTTTTCCACTGAACTGGATGAGCATTGAATATAATGGGGTTTTATTTCTTCCTGACAGTTTTTAAGAAATGGTTTAGTGGGAAACACTGACTGGAGGCTTCCCAAAAGCAGTAGAAACATATTTCAGCCTGTTTTTGAAACAACAGCTGCACATAGATGTGACAAGGTCATACAGCACAGTGGAGCAAATTGCAACAAATACTCCACAAACCAAACTTTTATGCGGAAAAGGTTTGTGTACATATGACAAATGATAATGAAGGGGTGAAGAGCCATATGTCCCAGGAGTCATGTCAAGAAAATACACATAACAGATCCCATCTATAGAAGTTAGATCTTATTTAACAAGCAACATCTAGTGGCTGTCAAGCTTTTCAGTATCATAACAAGACCTCCAGTCCTCAATGAATAGCAGCCTTACAGCGCTCAGAATAATGTCTCATTCTGTGAGTGTTGAAATTTTCTCTTAACTTATCATAATTTTATTTCACAGTAATGATGTCAGTAAGCAATCTTAATTTAAAAAGAGTTCTTTTTCTCCCAAACAAATCCACCTGAAATCCAATGCACTGAAATTCTATCTAATTTCATAGCTAGTATTTCTTTCATTGACTTAAATAGAAATAATTTTGACCCCTAATATTTAGAAGATACATGCAAAGATTTATACAAAGGAGAAAGGGAAAGAACTTCATCCCCTCTGAAGGGCACTACATACATTTTTATTTAATTCACCTTAGCACAGACCTTAGGAAGCATTTATAGGGGGGAAGATAGCCTTCCAATAAGAAAGAATACCAATATATATTTAGTGTTTACCTACTGATAAGAGTTAGTTTTGTAAGTCAACTTGAATGGACTATGGGGGACACCCAAATATCTAGTGAAACATTTCTGGGTTTATCTGTGAGGTGTTTCTGGAAGAGAGTAGCATTTGAATTGATGGCCAATTAAAGCAGATTGTCCAAAAATGTCAGTGGTCACCATTTAATCCACTGAGGGTTGAATAGAACAAAAACCGGAGGAAGGTTGGATTTTCCTTTTTTCTCTGCCTGACTATGCGGGAACATCATTTTTCAGAGACCTTGGTTCTCAAGTCTTCTGACACAGTCTAAAATCTACACAATTAGCTCTCTTGTTCTCAGACCCTCAATCTATGCCACTGATTTTCCTGGGTCTCCAGTTTGCAAGTATTAGTACCTATATGTGTATCGCTAAATAGACGGATAGATGATAGGCGAATTGATTCTGCTTCTTTGGAAAAGCCTAGTACAACTACTCTATGACAAAATTAGGCCAGAAAACATCCCATTTTCATGGGAAAAAGCATCTACCAAAAGGAATTCTCATGTGTAAAAGTTGTATGTACAGAAATATTTTTTATAATATCTATACACTAAGTTGCTACGATCACATATTTGCCAGTGCAACAAAGTTTCCTTATTGTCCCATTTATGGGTACTTAATTAAATAGCTGGTTATCTCTGTGGGTTCTTTGAGGGGGCAACCATTAGACATTTTCATAGACTCTTGAAAATCTTCAAAGACTTCCGCAAAATACAAGTTATACCCATAGTTACATAGTCTTTTGCATGTAAAGCTGCCCCCAAAGCATAGTTTGATTAGGAGATGACTTGAGTATACAAGTGATAAAGCAGAACATTGTCAACATTAAATGATATAGAGGCTATGTGCTTTTCTGTTCATTTTTAAAAATATTTTTGAGTATCATTTCTTGAAAGTAGCTTATCTTTCTCATGTTACAGAATTTAAGTTGTAATTCAAAGGCCCCAACAGTAAGTAAGCAAATTAAAAGAAGAACATACAGACTGTGTATTAAAAATGCCAGAGCACCATGTGAAATAGGAAGAAAAGAGCTAAAGGTGTAGGGGAAGTGGAAAGGGAAGGGGAAAGGTAATAAGGGAAAAGAAAAAAAATAAGAGAAAATGAAAAAATGGAAATAAAGTGTTTGTAAATGGGGAGGTTGAAGAGGGGGTGAAGGGAAGGCAGGGACAAGGGGAAAAATGAGAACCAAGACCTGTCGTGTAAAGATACAAGATCCCAATGATGAATTTAACTGTACTGTATACCTAAAATGTACCAATGAACTCAATAAAAAATAAAAATATAAAAATGCCAGAGCATTTCAGAGTCCTACTGCTATGTCATCAAATGCATAGTCACTGTTATATTATTAAGCAAGTCCTATCTGGTAAATATTTTTCTGCTTAGTAATTTCTGCAAATGATTAAGTAGCGTTTCAGTTAAGCAAATGTCAATAGAAACAGAACAATAAAAAGTGAAATCTCCTGAAAAGGAGGATGTACCAGTTACCTTTAAGTGGTAATACTTAATGATTAACTTTTGTATTTCATGTGAAATAAACACAATGTTTAAAACTAGAGCTATCATCTAACAATATAACATATAGAGCACAGTTAAGAATTCAGATGTCTTTTATTAGTCACTCTAGTGAAGTAATTTTGTAAGTCAACATTAATGTATATTACACAGTGATTTTTAAGTTTATATATCACTTTCATGATTCTCTCTTCATTTCTTCTCTACTTTTGTATAGAAAGTAGAATAGGCATTACTCCCACGTTATATCTGAGGAAATTTAGATATTAAGGAGTGACTTGTTAACTAAAGTTACATACTTGGTTGAACGGGTAAGCTGATTTAATCCTAATATCTAGACTTTGCTTCAGTATACACACACATACACACACATTTAATTAATTAATTACAGAAGTGTTTCTTTAATAACAAGGCAGTCAGGAAAAAGTTAATGTAGTATGTCATTTTAAATTAATCGAAGCTCACTGTTGTGTCTAATATCCATAAAGTGCCATTTTCCCCTCATGATCATGTACTCCCCTTTCACCTCACTATGCTTTAAAACAAGATGTAAATGTGAAATGATATAGGCAGAGTAAAGTTTAGTTAGGGTATATGCCTCAAACTTCGGGAACTATAAAATATTTTAGTTTTTCAGTTATGGAACTTGGGATAATAATTTAAAACTTTGTATTTTCAGTAAGATAAGCATCACAATACAAAGATCATTATTCAAAATTTGATTATGACACCTATTTCCAGTAAATGCTAAGGCTTTGTAACTAGCTTGATTAGCTAATCTTTTCTGCTCACAATGCTTTATGGCTCTTTATGTTTCACTAAAACAAAGCAAAACAATTGCTCTACCCTTTCCCAAATGCTGTGATCATACCTTGTTTCCTCTTTCTCCAGGGGATATTCAGAGAGAATGGTCTCTTCTCTGAACAGCACACACTGTCTTGTCCCTATCAACACGATTCTATAATAAAGAAGTAGACACCCAGTTTCCCACAGTGGTCTTCTACCTACCCCAGCAGGAATCCTGGTTTCATTTTTAAATACCTCCTTTGCATCAAACTTGACAAGGTAGCCTATATTTTTAATCCCTCTCTCTATCTCAGTAGAAAATTATTCTTATAATCAAATACAGGAAGTCATTGGGCTGATGTTTCAAAATCTAGCTCTTTTTACATGCATCCTTCTGAGTAAAGGACATGGCGCACTTTCTGAAGCCAAGAGATTATAGAAATTAAGAATGTAAACTGGAGATTCAGACAGACTTGGGTTCAAGTATTAAGTGGATCATTTAATAGCTGCATGATCTTGACCAAGTGATTTAGTCTAAGTCTTGGTCATTTTTTTTTTAAATGTAGATAGCAACACGATCCTTCAGAACTTCTGCTAGGATTATACAAGTTATCGCACAGTAACATATTACTCCACTTACTGTCATGTGGTAAATAATTAATCTCAGAGAGAATAGTTGTGTGTGTGTTTACGTTTGTATTTGTGCATCAAAAACATATACAATAATATTGCAATATTGTTATTTTATTCTTATAAAGGAGCCTTTACAAAAGCTGAATCTATTTCATACTTATGCTCAAAGCAAATACGTTATAAGGAACGATGCTCCTACATCACAGTTTTAATCAACCTTCTCAGTATTTCATTCCCTCTCTTAGAATTTTGTTCACAAATCTATTATATTATCATTCACTTTCACTAACTGTTGACAATGGAAGTGATATTAAATTATACCATATAGACTTCATGAAAAAAATAACATCACTTCATTGCCATAAACCTCTAACATGATAAGATTTATGACACAAAGCAAAAAAAAAAATCACTTGACTATTTGATAAAGGAATAAGTCAACATAAAATGAATTGCAAATTGGAATTCTTTTAAAATTTTTGTTTTTACATACACATGTTTGATTTTATGAAATAATTGAATTAAATGAGCAGTGGCAATATGTCTTAATCATGGTTACTAGCTTTTTATCAATACGAAGAGGAACGTGTTGCCTTTATTATTAATGCATGTTTCTATATGGCAAGTACTAACACATCAGTTAGTGCTACTAATAGATTTACTGCAAATTAACCTTGACATCTATCACATCACTGAATGTAAGGATGACTCAAAAGTAGAGCTGTTTTCAGCAATCCCTGCATTTAAACTGTGCAGCAACTCTGTATTACTCCACTCTCAATTCATTAACAAAGCTGGATCTATCAGGTGTAAATTTAGCAGTGTCAGCATACTGTACACCGTAATTAATGTAAAAATGTACACATGGAATCCAGTTTCTAATGTTAGAACTGCCTATGATTTTGTAAAAAGAAATATTTTTAGATATTTTTAATATAATACTTAAATAAAG